ATATTGTAATCATGGATTTAGAAATCAAGAATTATTAAATAAACATTATGATAGTGGATGTATGGAAGTTGAAGGACAGCAAATAGTTATGCCTAAGTCTTATGAGAAAGTTAGTTTTAAGCATCACTTCAAAAAGTTAAGGTGTCCTTTTGTTGTATATGCTGATTTTGAATGTTTGACAGAGGAACTGAAAAAACCTGATGAAGATGAAGATAAAAACACTTTTTCTTATCAAGAGCATAAACCATGTGGTTTTATGCTTAATATGGTTAATGCTGTTGATAATACAAATTATGAATTTATGTATCGTGGTAAAGATGCTGTTGATGTGTTTTGTCAAAAACTTAATGAGATTAGGACAGAAGTAAAGGAGAAGATGGGAGAAAACGAAAAAATAGATATGACGCTCGGCAGAGCCTCGCGTGACTACGCGACTGATGAAGACAAAGAAGATTTTAAACATGCTAAAAACTGCTTTATTTGTGGAGACGCATTTCGCTTGAGCGATGCGTCAGCTTCGCGAGACAAGTTTAGAATGAACTATAAAAATGCAAAGGAAGCAGAGAAATATAGAAAAGTTAGAGACCATTGTCATTTTACAGGTAAGTATAGAGGTTGTGCTCATAATGTTTGCAATCTTAATTTTTGTAATAGATATTTTAAAATTCCAGTATTCTTTCATAACATGAAAAATTATGATGGTCATTTAATTATTCAAAATGCTGATAAATTAAGTAACAACAATAAAATAGGTGTCATCGCTCAGAACAGTGAAAAATTTATTAATATCAGTTTTGAAAGTTTGAGTGTTAAAGACACTTTTGGGTTTTTAACTGCTTCATTAGATAAGTTAGTTTCAATGAGTAAGTATGATAATACAGATGAAGAAGATAAAAGTAAATGGTTATTGCGTGAAAACTGGAAAGATAATTTTAGGTTCAGTAGTAAAAATGATGTGATTAAGAGTGAGAAATGTCTAGATTTGCTGACTGATAAAGGTGTTTATCCTTATGACTACATGAATTCATTTGATAAATTTGATGATGAGCAATTACCGAGTAAGGATGACTTTTATAGTCAGTTGAGTGAAGAAGGTATAAGTGTTAACGACTATGAAAGGGCAAAAATTATATGGAAGCATTTCGACATTAAGAATATGGGTGAATACCATGATTTATATTTGAAAACTGATGTATTATTATTGACTGACATTTTCGAAAACTTTAGAGATGTATGTATGAAATATTATGGATTGGACCCTGCTTATTATTATACATTGCCTAACTTTGCTTTTGATGCTATGCTTAAAATGACTGGTGTAGAGATTGATTTAATATATGACCAAGAAATGTATGAAATGATAGAAGCGGGACTTAGAGGCGGGATGTGTATGGTTTCTACTAAAAAAGTTGAAGCAAATAATAAATACATGGGAGAAGAATATGATAAAAATAAAGAAAGTAGTTATATTAACTATTTTGATGCTAATAATTTGTATGGGTTAAGCATGATACAAAAACTGCCATATAAAAATCTAAAATGGGATGATACATTAAAAGAAGAAGACATTATTAATTATAAGAATAATAATATTGGATATATTCTAGAAGTGGACTTAGAATATCCTAAAGAATTACACGATTTACACAATGACTATCCAATGGCACCTGAGGTTATGAATGTTAAAGCCGACATGCTGTCAGATAAACAAATTGAAATTTATGAATTTTTAAATCATAAAAAACCTACGGATGAGAAAACAAATAAATTAGTATTGAATTTAAATGATAAAGAAAAATATGTAATCCATATAAGAACCTTGCAATTTTATTTGAAGCAAGGCTTAAAACTTAAGAAAATTCATAGAGCAATTAAATTTGAACAAAAAGAAGTTTTAAAACCTTACATTGAGTTTAACACAGAGAAGAGGAAGAATGCTAGAAATGATTTTGAGAAAGATGTTTATAAATTGATGAACAATGCCATATTTGGAAAAACAATGGAGGATAAGCGAAAACATTTAGACTTTGAAGTTGTGAGTGATGAAACTAGATATATGAAGTGTGTAAGTAATCCTAACTTCAAACATAGTCATATAATTAATGAAAATTTGGTTGGAGTTGAAAAGCAAAAAACAAAGTTGAAACTAGACAAACCTATATTTATTGGGATGAGTATTTTAGATTTGAGTAAGCAACACATGTATAAATTTTATTATGACGTTATGAAGCCTAAATATGGAGATAATATTAAAATGGTATATACTGATACTGATAGTTTTGTATTTCATACTAAAACCAATGACATTTATGAAGACCTTAATTCAATTAAAAAAGAATTAGATTTTTCAGATTATCCTAAGGAACATAAATGTTATGATGATAATAACAAGAAAGTATTAGGGAAATTTAAGGATGAATTAAAAAGTAAAATAATAACAGGGTTTATAGCTCTTCGTCCTAAATGCTATGCTTACTCAGTTTATGGTGATGATAAAAAATATAAGAAATGTAAGGGAATAGCAAAAGGCACAGTAAGATGTCAAATGAAATATGAAGAGTTTGAGACGGTTTTAAAAACTAATGAGGTTATACATAAGTCATTTAATAGTATTAGAAGTAAAAACCACAGAATTTTTAGTATAACAACTAAAAAAATTGCTCTTAGTAGTTATGAAAACAAAAAATATTGGATAGATAGTGTAAACTCACTTGCTTACGGCCATTATAAGATAAATTCTTTGAAAACGACTTAAATAAATATTGACTTAATATATTAAGAGGAAAAATGACACTGTTTAATTATAGTAAGTGTGAATGTTGTAATAATAAAAAGAATGATATTAATTTTACATTGTATAACTTATTACCTGCTAATCTGTGTAATAAAATAAGTGAATATGATGTATATTGTAATCAATGCTGTATAACAAGAGACCTTGAAAAGTTGTTTGTTGAAGAATATAAGGATAAGGGATATACAAAGTTTCAATTACAATTGACATTCTTTATGAAATATCAAAAACGATGTCCTGTATGTTTTTACCATACAATTGATAGAGAGTCATTTGAAAAAGAAATTGATGAGTTTTTTAATAATAAAGATTTGATTAAAAGGTTTGGAGGGACAAGCGCAATTAAACCATATAAAGCATTTGTTAAAAAATTTCGAGGCATGGTTGATGCGATTGATTGGCATTTATTAAGTAAAGATAAAATAAACGAGGTCTTGAATGAATTTAAAATAACTAAATATCATGTATGGTCTTACTACAACACTAAATATCAAGTATGGCTACTAGTTAATTTGTTTTTCTGGGAATATATTTATTCAATAATAGGAAAAGACAATATCAAATATATAGATATTGACGATATTGATAAATATGTAGATTACATATTTGAAGACATTTTTCCTGACTATAAATGTAACCCATAATTATTAATTGAAATATAATTATAACATGTAAAATATTATATGCTATAATTATACTATACTTATGGTTAGTTTCTTAATTTTTATTAATGCCTTAAAAATGACTTAAAGAAATATTGACTTAATATATTAAGATAGAAATGAACGGTGATAAAATCAATAATTATATCAATAAAAAATGCTATGATTGTTGTCACTTCAAAAAAGAAAATATGGAATTGTATAAATTAAATTTACCTAATAAAATATTGAATAATATTATTAATTATTCAATGGATGAAGAAGATGAATGTAAAATTTGTCAGGAATGGAGAGATAATCAAGTTTTAATCAAATGTCTGTTGAGAATAAAAGGGAGACATAATAGAAATGTAGAAGATGAGATTTTAATATTTCTAGCTGTAAATAAAATACCACCTTACGATTATATTAAACAGTTTCTTAAAATCCCTAAGAAAAAATATGGTATGATTGATGATATATTAAGGATGTTGTGTTATAGTCAAGAGAAAGGAGAAGATGTTAAAGAAAATATCAAATTATTTATTGAAAGAAAAAAGTTTAATATTCAAAATACATTGAGAGATATTAATATTATTTTTAAAATGATGTATGAAAGAAGTGAGACAAATCAATTAAATTATTATCCTGAACTGAAATTATAATCATACTATGATTATCACATGTAAAATATTATATGTTATAATTGTAATATATTTATCGTTTGTAAAGATTGAATTATTATAATTTGCTTATCTCTTTCAAAGTGCGTTGTTTAGACTTGGCACGCTTCTTCAATTTTTTCGTGCTTTGGCTGTTTGTTTTTGTTTTGTTTGATACTCTTATGATATTTTTTGTTGGTATGTTGCTTTGATTTTTGTTGATGTGTGTTTTTGAGTTTGGGTTCTTTGATGATTTAGAGTGTTGCTGTTTTGTTGGTATGCTTGTTTGAATTATTTAATGTTGCATGCTGTGATTAAATATTTTTGTTGCTGGTTGTGATTATTTATTTTGTTTGCTTGTTGTTCTGGATTTTGTTTTCTGTTTGTTGTGTTGCTGTTGGAGAAAAAATAGTAGAAAGAATAATTCTTTGAATTCTCCTTTTACTATTTTTTAGGGGGCCTTTTTTCCCTTAACCTTCATCTACCCAGGTTTTGATTGTGAGCATCACCTGTTGGAAAGGGCAACTGAAAGTGCTTGCTTCCTTTGGTCCGTGATGGTTATAGGCTGAGGAAATGGGAATCTGCCAATCTATGCTCAACCAGCTGAGTCATGATCAAAACCGATCGGGTCTTTTTTTCACTGGTCTGCCCAGAACATACGTTGTTGTCATGGTTCTGGTTGTCAACTGGACTGGTGAACTGGTCAACTGTCAACGTGGCTCTCCTGGGTACATGTTGTATGTGTATATATATATATATATATATGTTACGGTCTGCCCAGAGCCATGTAGAGAATACGTGGCCCTCCTGGTCGTCTCCTGGTTGTTGTGAGCTTCCTTTGGGTCTGCGATGATTATAGGCTGGGGAAATCGGAATCTGCCAATCTATGCTCAACCACCGGTCCTGGTTGTTGTCCACCTTCAGCACCGGGCCCTCAAACTCCCCCAAGATGGTCTCCAGCTTCTCGCCGGTGGCTTTCGAGAGCTCCCGGGCGTCGGACTCCTGTGGAAATCGAAGGGACCCGTTCTGGAACCCCAGAAAGAACCGAGGGAGAACAAGGGAAGACCAGACAGGGGAAAGCGAAAAAAAGGATCTCGTCATAAAGGCTGAAAGGAACCCACAGTTGCAAAGTCTGGCATCTTTTGATCTGGACTTCCTGGAGAGCATGCCCTCACAGGGACCTAAGCTGCAAGGGTCTTGCCTTTGAGCCCTCTCCGTTCCTCATCTTCAAAGCGCAAGGCGGAGGTTTGGAAACTCGCCCTCCGCCTCACCATCGTCGCAGCGTCGATCTTCAACAGCACCAAGAGCACGACTCTCCTTGCTTTCTGCTCTGCTAAAAGCTTAACTTTTGGTGGTTCAATGGAAACCCCACGAGTTGGCGTTTAAAGTCCTGACATCCCTTGGCAAAATGCACCAAAGTCTCGTCTCTTGCTCGTGTCGAAGGGCCTCCTTTGCGCGGGCCAACAGCTTCGCCTGTTGCTCGGGGTGCCGGGCGAGCGCCCACACAAAATTCCCCAGGTGCCATGTCTCCACCACCCGGCAGCTGCTCCGCTCCTTGTCCCGGGCCACTTCCGCCGCGTGGATCTCATCATCCCAGGTCTCGCGGTACCTGGATATATGCTTTTCTGGGGACCCAAGAAATGGGTGTTCCTTTTGGGAACAAACACAAATTACTGGTGTTGCTTTTGGTTTCCTTCTAGCCACAAAACGCGCTCCTTTTGGCTTCCTCCTGAAAGCCACCCAACCTCTCTGGGAAACAAGCCTCAAAGGAAGACACGCCCGCCTGTTCTGCTCCTCTTCTTCTCCTCGCAAGGACGTTCCGAGCTCCTCGTCCGACTGCCAGCGGAGTCGCTGTGCCAGCCTCTTTCTCACCGTACTCTTCCCCGCCGTATGGGAACCCATGACCACCAGCGTCACCTTCTGAGCCTCACGCCCGTTCAGCTCACACACCTGGAAAGTGTGGCGCCCACAGATCTCCCCGATTGGCTCAAACAGCAACTAAAAGGCGACAGTCAAAAAAGAAGGAGTCTCGCTAAGTCGTGGTTGCTGTTGACCCCCCTTTCAAAAAGTTCAACTTTTTGGGGATTCGTGGAAACCCCTTTATTCCCCAAAAAGTTCAAGTCTGAAGATCCAAGCCAACAGCAGTCAAGAAGTTGGACCCTTGGTTGGGGAACAATAGTAATATATTGGTTGAAAGAAGTAAACTATATCTGTGTTGTAGGTTGTTGGAAAATCTTGTTTACTTCTTTCAACCAATACACTACTATTTTTAGGGGAGCCAACTCCCTTTTCCAACCACCACCTCCAGCGGCCGTGAGAAGGGCAGCAGCGCCCTAGGCCCCTCCCAGCCTCTGGAGCCGCGACTCCGCCGCCACTCGCATCTGCGAGTTCCCCCGGGAGCTGGGGGGTGCCCAATGAGGACCTCCATCCTCAGGTGGGTTCTGACTGTTGCCTTCGGCCTCAGGCATGAAGATACGGGGGTGGGGGTGTGACTTTTTTGAGTTGGCACTCTTTTCAGGCTGGGATGATGGGTAGTTTGAAAGCAAGCATGTGATGTTTTGGTTGGTTGGTACCTCTTTTCAGGCAAGTTTGACAGGAAGCCAAAAGAAAAAGCAACGATTTGAAAGCCCCCTCAGTTGACCCATATGGGTGTGTCCTTTTGAGGAGTTAGTGCCCTTGATTTGTGACCAGCATCCTGGTCGTTGTTGAAACCGCCCCAAAAAATCAGCAGCTGGAGAACTTGAAAAGGGGCATCCCTGAAAAGGTGCTTTCTTTCACAACCCTCCATTTGGCTGTGGCTCAACAACAATGGTACGGCACCTTGGATGCAAACCAAGATCAAAACCCACGTAACCCCAGCTCTTCAATTTTGAGCCGCGCCCCGAAATTCGCTGGGCAGAGTCTTCGCCAAAACCCGGCTCCTGTAGGGAATGAAGATGTACGCCGTGGACGGCCCGTCCCGAGTATCCTCCGCGCGCGTGCCCACCACCGCCTCTTGGTCCGTCAACGCCACCCGCTCGCCCGAAGCCGGCTGGAGCTGCGCCAGCTCTTGGCACCTTTGCATGGCGCAAGCCAGGCTGAAAGGCGGCGCTGGGGACCCCCATCTCATCTTCCTGGCGGCTCCAAAGGGAGGCTGGGGCCACATGGCCATGGGTCAAAATCCCGCACCCGCGTGAGGTGGTGCACCTACCCCGAAATGATACCATTGGTTAGGACCCACAGCCACATGTCTTGGGCACCTGCGACTCCTAAACGCCTGCTTCGCACTCCCACTGAATCAGGGGCCGGAATCCAAAAATCCCCCGCCTCACTATGCCCTCACCCCTCCACTGCTGCTGGAAGGGGTAGCTGCCAAGCAGCAGCACCATGGAAGCAAAGACCTCCTCACCTGGTTGCCCAGTTGCGCCGCCAGCGCTCCCCAAACTGAAGAAGATGAATCCGGTCTCCGTCACGGAGTGAATTCCGAGGTTTCGCACTGCAGGGGGACCCCCAAGTTGCTGGTTGGGCGTGGCCAGCTGGAAGGACCATGGGACGTGCTTCCCCCTCCTCCCCAACTGCCACTTCTTGTCCCCTGCTGCGTCTCTCAGAAACCCTTCCCTCCTGGCAACCTGCACCAACCGCCGAAGCGGATCTGCGCCCAGCTCTGACTCCAAATCCTCGGTGGACGGGAAGATCGCCAAGTCCACCGCGCGCTTGGCCGCACGGAGCACGTCCTCGCCGCCGATCCGCTCCATCCGCGCCCCGGGCACCTCCAGCGAGCGGCTTTCGTCCAGACTCAGCTGCAGCCTGGGCTTCAGCAAACCCGGCGGCCACACCCAGCGGGAAACCGAAGAGCAGAAATTCTCGATAAGGAACACCAGGGGCAGACGCTCGGCCACGCACACATCCTTGCATTCCTGCACAACCATGTAGCTGGACACCACGTCAAACGCCCTTGCCGCCGCCCCTCCAACCTGCTCGAAGATGGCCTTGACGGTGCTCAACGATGCCGGTGGAGAGAACGCCACACGCACGGAGGAAAGAGGCCACATGTCACCCAAATCTTGAACGAAGCTCTTGCCTCCGCTGTTCTCAACGCCTTCCACACTCACAATGATGGGCTGGTACCATTTGCTATTGATGTCATAAGTCTTCTGCAGGCTATTCAGCCTCTCATAGAAGGCTTCAACGTCTTTCCACCCTTCCCCCGCGCATGATTCAAGTTTTGAGGTCGTAGTAGCAGCCCTCAACTCACATGCAGCTGTGGAAAGATCCGGGAAAAAGTCGCACGGGCCAAGCCTCCGCTTCTTGCAACCATCCATGCTGTGCAAATTAAACTGCCCAAGCCACGCTGTCGGTCCGTGCTCGGGGAATGGTGCGAGAGCCAAACTCCCACACATATCATGCCAAAGGCAAGCAAAAGCAAGCGACAGCTGGAGGAATGCGTTGCTCACATCCCAAGATTCCCAGCAGGGACGTGCTTCTCTCTCCCGTTTAGCCAATTGCCAAATGCTGCCCCTGGAGCCCCTTTGGACCAGAAGTCGACTTTTTGCGGCACATTTCTGGCCTCAGGTAGCCGAGTCAGCCACGGGGAAGAAGTAGGGGCTGCCGGCATACGGCCTCAGCCAGATTTCTACAGCTCTGGTCTTCAACCTCAAAAGTCGCAACTCGAGTGACGTCGTTTTCCGTAGACCAAACGCATCTTTGTCTGTTCTGTGTCCTTTTAGAATACATAATATAATATATGGGTGGTACTAGGTTTACCAAATTTAAAACCTAGTCTTTCCTTGGGATGGGGGCACCTGGGTCTGTCTTTTCTGAGGGCACTTCCTCCCTCTTTGGTTGGTTTTAAGAGGATAACAGGAATTGCCGGAAGTCCCGCCAAAAAGAGACAGGCCGATGCTTTCCGGAAACTCTGGGTCCCCCGCTCCAGTCGGAACCACTGCTGAGCCACCCACTTCTCACCTCGCTCCCATTTGCTCCGTGTCGACATCAACCCCTGGTCCCCTCAAGGATGTTGCTAGAACAAAAGCCCCGGGATTCAAAACACCATAACCAACTGAGGTCTGGAAAGAACTTCCGTAGTATGGACGCTAATTAAAAGGTAGTTCGCTCAGGTGCAGGTGTCGTGGCAAGCGCAGCACTTTCGTAAGGTGAGGTACAGACTTCGTGGCATGCGCTGCGCATCCGCAAGGTCGAGGGATAGATAGACATACAGATAGATAGATAGATAGACAGACAGACAGACAGACAGACAGACAGACAGACAGACAGACAGACAGACAGACAGACAGACAGACAGACAGACATACAGACAAGCATGATAAATAAATAGACAGACAGACAGACAGACAGACAGACAGACAAACAGATAGATAGATAGATAGATAGATAGATATGTGTGATAAGATAGATGGATAGATGAGAGATAGAAGCGGGAGAGCGAGAGAGGGATAGAGAGATATACATTTGCTGGATAGACAGACAGATAGATAGTGTGCATAGATAGATAGATAGATAGATAGATAGATAGATAGATAAATAGATAGATCGATAGATAGATAGATAGATAGATGGATGGATGGATAGATAGATAGATAGATAGATAGATAGATAGATAGATAGGGTAGGTAGGTAGGTAGGTAGGTAGGTAGATAGAAAGAAAGATAGATAGATAGATGAGATAGACATACCGATATGTAAATACAAAGAAAGAAAGAAAGAAAGAAAGAAAGAAAGGAAGGAAGACAGGAAGAACCAAAGAAAGGAAGAACCAAAGAAAGGAAGAAAGGAAGAAAGGAAGAAAGGAAGAAAGGAAGAAAGGAAGAAAGGAAGAAAGGAAGAAAGGAAGAAAGGAAGAAAGGAAGAACCGAAGAAAGGAAGAAAGGAAGAAAGGAAGAAAGGAAGAAAGGAAGAAAGGAAGAAAGGAAGAAAGGAAGAAAGGAAGAAAGGAAGAAAGGAAGAAAGGAAAAAGGGGAAAAAAAGGGGAACAAAAAGGGAAAAATAAGCAAAACAGAGAAGAAATAAAGACAAGAAGAAAGAAAGAAAGACAGAAATAAAGAAAGAAAGACAGAAATAAAGAAAGCTGGAAATATGGAGATAAAAAGAAACAATGAAAAGAAGGGCAGGAAGGAAAGACAACGAGAAACATACAGAAGAAACAACAGATAAAGATAACTACACTTTTCCTGAGAACCGCCATTGTTTACCTGAGAATTGTCATCATCCAAATTGGGTCGACCATGTGTTAACGGTGTTTTGAATGCCAAGGGTCGTCTGTGGCAATATGACAAGGCAATGTGTCCAGCGTCCGTCAGTTAAGTACCACAGGCATCAACATGTGTTGGTTCAAACAACGTGGGCTCAGGACACCAACAAACCGGCTTCTTTGACATTAATTCCAACACCAAGGGATCCCCAAGGCTGTTGGATCCTCATAACAAACAGTTACTCCAGTCCGTTTCGGCCGGCTCACGCCTGCGAGCACCGGGCAGGAGCCGTGCATGGACAACGGGTTGTGCCTGGCACTGCTTGGCACTGCTTGGCACTGGGCATCCGGGTGGCCTGTGACCCGAAGATTTCAAAAAGCCATGCAAACACTTGCTTCCCGAAGGATTGTCATCATCTAAATTGGGTCAACCATTCTTTGCCTGGGGTTTGAACTCTAGCGAACCAAAACATTTACGTATAGTCAATTATATATACATCAAGGCCAGGCTGAACATATACCACGTTGCCAAAAACAAGTTAAGGACCACTACCGAGCGGGAAACCCCCGACCTCCAGGTGGTCTACCCGTCATCTCTGCCCCCACGTTCATGCGGGCCCACCGGTCGGCCGACCTGCCATCCAGGTCGTGGGAGTAGAAAACCACCGCCTGGCCCTTCTTCCCACGAACCTCGAACACGGCGACTTCGCCGAGGTGGCGCAGCGCGCGTGTCGCGAAGCGCGTGTCGCAGAGCCCTGAGAATCCGGCCCAGAAGCCCTTGCCTTCTGCAATCAGCTCCTAATGCAGCGCCGAACGCATATGGCAACTTCCCTTGAGCGAAAAGACAACGACATCATAAGGATTATATGCTCGAAACTCGCCAAGCAAAAAAGCAAATCTACGGAGGCAACCTTTGAGGGTACCTCTTCTTGGAAAATCGCCCTTTTGAACCTCCAGCCTTACAAGAGACAGGGGCTTAAGCGGCTTAAGGCTAGCCTCAACCCGCACGCGCAAGCGCCGCAAGCGCCGGTCCGTGCGGTTGCAGCAGTCCGCAAAGTCGGCGTCCTGCGATCTCAGGCCACGAGGCGCCATGGCGGGTGAAAAGCCAAATACCGCGAACCTCCCAATACCACTCAAACTTGTCAAATAGGTTCGAACATGGGTGAATTCACCTACCCGGATCTCAAAACGGCTCTGACAACAGCCACATGGCAAGGGCATCCTGGTGGTTTCCCCTTGAAAACAAGCCGCAGGGCAAATCCACAAAAGACACCGGCTTGACATTGCTGAGCCTGGTATCAAAGACACCGGAAAGCGCAGGGGCTCCCAAAAGCAGGAAAACTGCAGGTTGCTTTCTGTGAGCCTGGCCTTGCTGCTTGATACAAGCCCAACTTTTTCTGTTGCACGCGGCTAAAGCAAAGATTGGTTTGGGGCAGGAGATTGGTTCCATGAACCAGCCTTTTCTGCGGATTCAGAACAAAACCTTCAAGGAATGGGCTCGTCTCATCGAACATGGACCCCCTTCTCCAGCTCCTGGCACTTTCGGTGCTTCGGGAAGATGGTCTCGCCGCCTGCCTAGGAATCGAGGCGATGCCATGATCTTGCCTGGTTCGGTTGAGGGAAACCAAAATGATAATCTGTGTTTAATTTGCTTTCTCGTGGGGGGGCTATGTGTTCTTTCTTCGAATACGAAGCCACAATGTTGAGAGATCCCATTTGTCTGTATACGTACATCGTCAACTCGGTCGCTCAAAACGGGGTCCAGTATCCCGATTTCCCACTCCGCCAACCGAAGGTCACTACAAGGGAAGTAAGGCAGCAGTGAGGATTGATGTTGAACTACCCAGCCTTTCAGTTGCAACCAGGCGCCCGTTTGCAACCAATCAGCGGGATTCTAAGGTTGCACAACAACTACGTACATTCTCTCGTCCAGCGGGAAGAATCCTTGGTAAATCTGAGAACTTCACAAAAACATCATGTCATGAAGGGTCCCCTACTAAAATAGACTACAGAAAAAAAGGAACCCTTATTCTATCCTTTCTACTGGAGAACCTGGTCCTTATCCGTCTCATTCTTCACCACCTTTCTGGAAAACCCTTAGCGACATTCAGTGGGGATGGAAGACGAAAACTTTGGGGGGCAAGGGCTGCTTTCCATGTGCCAAGAACCAGCGGTTCCCACAAAAGGGATAGAAGGGCACTACTGGGGGACCTTGTGGCAAGGGTTGGAAGGTTTTTTCCGGCAACCGGACACCCGAACACCAAACCCCCACCCCACCTAACCGAGACCCATTCCTTCTGCTTCCTTCTGCTTCCTTCCGCGCCTTGGGCGGGTCCAGGTAGACGAGCACCGTCACTGCCCGCCGCAGATTCTGCGAAAGTTCGGAGTCGAAGTGGGGCTGGTAGAACTCCCCGAGGTGGTATTGCCCCACCTGGCACGGAAGAAGACAAGGCAACGGATGCAATGTTCCTGACAAAAGCCCAGCGCCGACGTTTCGAAACCAGGCGAACCTAGTTCAACACATGATACATTCAACCTACGAATTCAATAACCACCAAAAGCAATACCAGCTGTCCAAAAGCCTTCAACACTAGGGATTCCCTGGTATGCGTTTCTGGTGTTCAAGCTTTTGAAAAGGACCCAAAAGAATCAAAATGGAATCTCCATTTTGAGACTCAATGGATTCACGTGAGCTTCCATTTGAAATTGGTTGGACTCCTTTTCCTTTGTGTACATCATTTACACATGTTGGACTTGAAGCACCATCCAACTTTTGAGGACCTTCGGACCCTTAAAAAGTTAGCCACGCGTGGCGCCCTTTCCTTGGCCGTCTTAGCTTTCTGGGGGTCTGGGAATGCTTTTGACAGCCGCCCCTGGCTCGCCCATCTCCTCCCGACGGGGTCGCCTGCAGCGGCTCCCCGTGGCCGTCCGGCATCCGCGCCAGGACGTGCATGCGCCGCACCAGCTCCGCCACCAGAGGAACCTCCGCTTCGCCGGAAGGCACTGGTTGGGTAACCCGGCGAGGTCTGCTGAACGCCAGGCGCGCGTTTGGGAACACCGTTGGCTGAGCTGTCGAGCTCGAAAACAAGAGCTGCGACGGGTTGGCAACCTGAAACTCGGCAAGTTCCCTTAAACCAACCCCGAAACAAAGCACATTCCAGCGGAAAGGGTGGGGCGGCCTGGTAGTGTTCTGCTTGGTCCAGGTAGAACTGCGAGTTGGTCCGCACTTTGTCGGGCGAAGCTGCACCTACACAAAGCCGAGTGACTACCTAAGAGTAGTCTACCTCTGAAAACACAAATCTCACTTCTCCGAAGGACTGAGTCGAAAAAGGCTAACCGTTTGAAACAAATGAGTAAACATGGTTCAGGGATTCGGGAAGGGCTTTTGGCATAGTCTCAAAATGGGAAGCTCCCAAACTGAGTTTCCTTCTGCCCCCACTCAAACATGGATATCCTGATTCCAGGACACTCCCACGTGTCCGCCATTGTGAAATATGCTTCCCATGAGTGGCTTGTGG